TTTTTCTCCTTATACGAAGCCGTCTTATGTTCGAGCATTTCATATGAGTTGTTTATTTTAACCAGCCATCTCTTGACTAAGTCCAATGTCTGATTCCTAAATATTATAACTCTTAACAATACTATTTATTCTTAGTACACACACACACACAAACCTGTTTTAATTTCATCCAGCTGTTTCAGTCCCTGCCGGAGTGAGATTAAACTTTTGAAGCTTGGCACACTGAACCTGTCGGCATGGTGAAGATATTATTAAGCCTTTACTAGTGTGTGGAACTCTGTGTAGATCTCATAGGGAAAAGGAGCACTTAAATTATCGGATCCTATACTTTGTGGTTTATGCTAATCCAATTAGTGTGACACTCCGGCATTCATTGAACAGTCTAAATTTTCTGAAACCACTCATTTTTATTAACCCTCCCCGAAAAGTGTTTTGTGTGTGTAAATTGGTCTAATCCAGACGTATCCCCATCCTCCACTAACTTGGTTCACTCCACATACTTCCTCATACCTCGCCTAACGATTCCTATTGATTAGACAGACCACCATTGTGGAAAGTTGAATGACACACTTATCGGACAAACGTGAACCAGCTTTGTTAACAGTTTCAATATTTAGTATTTTAGTCCCTCTCCTGGACATCTCAGTCCTTTTGACTGTTTTCGTCTATGCAATGAAGTGCCCATTTACTCATCTCCTTCACTCTCTATCTTCCCCGGATTTGCGATTTGATGCCTTCGGTTTTATCTGATCGGTCCTGGACTCGATACACCGGTATGAAACAAGCACAACTATGTGTATAGATCTAATCCATAGGCCATTCGCTAAATTTCACCGATATGTGACTCCAGGCTCAGAACTATCATGATATCAACAGTTCGGTGTTTCATATACCGCGTTATTCGCTTGACCGGAAACAGTGCTCAGTCGAAAATATAGCTTTGCACTTGAATCCTGCTAAACCGGATCAAATAGAAAAGCACAATCGCAACACACAGACTCATTCACCCTCTTCCGCCCCTCCCTTCCCTGGAATCGTTTGTGCATCTGGAAAATGAAACTCGGTCATTTGCTTTGATTATACGATAAAATCGTCTTGTGCACGAGGTGCGAGCTGAGGATCTACTGGGCAGCTGTTTCGACCTGGTTGTATCTCATCAGCTGTGCGAATCCATTGACCCCACTGCGGATCGAATCCAGGACCTCACAGGTAGAACGCAGGCGTACTGACCACTCGGTCACCGAGCAGCTAATCTGACCTTTTGCTGGTCTCGAAAAAAAGTCACAATTGTCAGTTTTGCAAGATGAACCTAACAAAGCGCATTCGGTTTGACCTGAGTTTTCGCTGAACAGGCTAAGAATTTAAATGTCTTACTCCACCAAAGTAAAAACCGGTCGCTTCAGACCGTATCGGTTCAAAAAAGTTGCTGGGGTGATTTGTAAATTGAGAGTTAGGTCCGGAGCTTTGAGTGCTTTTGCACTATTTTCAACTCCTGCGTATTCTTCTTGATCAAGTTTTTCAAAAAGTTCCTTCTGGCTCGCCCCGGCTGCTCAATTAGAAAATTAGAATAAAATTTGTATGCAGATGAATTCACTTACTCGCGTGATTTTCCGCGAATCGTCGATTAAATTTTGGTTTCGATGATAATACCAATAATAATCACAACAGCATACAATGGACTGGCTATCGTGTTTGAGATTGGACCGAAATCCTCCTATTGGTCAAAACCATAATACGAACTCCCCTGTGCAGGCATGTAATACGATGCGCGAAAAACGTTATTTCATAGTTTACCAAATCTTTATCGGAGGACACACGTAAACAAGTATTGGATCAGTGCGAATTCAGGCCATTTGATTGTTCTGTGTAAACAGTCTTTTCGGCATGTAGGTTATGAATGACCAATGTATACCATGATAGATTTCTCCTTCCAACAGTCGCTACCTACCAGGAATAAAGTGCCTTCAATTAAATCTCCCTTAAAACCACTAAAAAGAACTGAGGAGTAAAACCAAACAAGTTTACAATCGCTGCTTTCGATTTGTCCTGCTATCGTTACCTCGTTTAGTGTTGACGTCGTTTTCAGATCGTCATTACTGATCTTGAAAGCGGGTACGAATTTCCTAGGTTCACTTCCTCACCGGGTTAGAGGTCTGGGGAAATCTTCCTCCAAATATTCCATGAAACCACATGAACCATGCAGCACAAACCGTTTGAGTGACATTGTGTTTGCCTGATACAGCATTTTCGACTTCGTGCTTTAACCCAAGTAACCCAGTGTAAGAGATTAGGATAATTACCGGGCATTATCAGTAATAAACACTTGTCTTCTGTGGTAAATAATGCACTTATTGACACAGATCGACGCATTCCTTGTGAAATTCAATAATGGTACCATTGGTCGCACATTCAGCAGAGATCACATGATCCTTCACGGATATTCTTGTGTGGTGAATGAGGTCTGTTTCGCGTGTAAGATCTTATTCGTTTAGTAGTGACCAGTCGTTAGTAGTAAAATACAGCGAAAGTGAATCTAATTAGAACTGCCGTTTCCTCATCACCATTGGGAAAGCAGGTCATCTATATGAAATAATTTTTTTCATGATCACAGGATGTGTTGATTTCAACTATTTCATGGTAATCTCATCAGCTGTGTACACACATTCGGATCACGTTTGGTTAAAATGTATGTACACAGCTGATGAGATTACCACGAAATATTTGAAATCAACACATCCTGTGATCATGATGCTTCATTGCTCTCATGAACATATTAAAGGGAACTGATTGCATGAAATATATGAAGTAAGCTCGCATAACAAAGAATATTTACCTTTTTGAGCCTAACTTTTGAAATCGAAATTCTGTCCAACTTTTTGTTTCATCGGTGTACTAAAAAATCAACTTACAGGAGCTTTCGAATCGTAGATTCGCTCATTCAAGGTGGCGTTTTTTTCCATAGTCAACCATACTTCGTGTAAGAACCCTCCGTTGATGTTCCATTTTTCAGACTGTATAATTTCATTTTTGTTTATCGGCAGTCGCGCTTCTGTACTTTTCGTTCTATTCTTTTTCTGTGCATTTGCATTTCCCGCGATATACCTGATCCCATTGCAACACTACTGAATCTATGGTGACACAGTTCACCCCCTTATACCGGCTGGTGGTGGATTCGCAATAACACCAGTTATTGAGCCACCGCAGATTGTGAAGGCAGAGGTCAGTGTTATGCATGTCCTGGGATAGGTTTCCTCTGGATGCTATGTTTGTCGAATCAGGTTTGTAAGTGAAAGAAAGCCAAAGGCGCTGAGATCATGGTCAGGCATATGAGTATTAGGACTTGGTCGAGTGAGTTAGGATTGTGGGCCCATTGACCAGTCTATGCGATAGTGACATACACAGTGTGATATAGCTGAGCGCAACGACGCACACNCTACTTCATTGGTTGGTCCAATGAGTGTAAGACTAATGGTTATGCAAACTGCACCGAACTTCTCTCTCCTGTGATTCAATGTTTTTGCATATATCTATTTTTCCTCACCGACGATAGTGTCTGGTGCTACCCTCT